CAAAATAGGATAACTTCATATCCAATTTTCTTTTTTTTAAAAAAAATCCACAAATGAAGCTATCGACATGAGTATGATATAGCAATGGATATATTAAGATGCGACTATATATATTGCTCCTATTGCCATGGCTACTGCCTCTGTAGTATGAAGTTATCCTATTTTGTTCTTTCAACCATGAGATAGTTACTGACTTTTGGCTACTCTCTGGGTTAATCAGGACTTGAAATAGATCTCCTGAGCTCAAATAATGAGCTTCCTGCCATATTATCCTGCCCTCTGTTGGTATGGATATCTGGAGATTGCACCTGTGCCTTCTAAACTCCTGGATCCTCCTTCCATCAAAGCTCCACATAGTTAGAACAGGTTGTGAGGGTTCACCCTTGCCAAAAAAATATTAATTAGTCCTCAGTGACAAAAGCTATGCAGCATCAAACCATCAATAAATAATAGCCCATGAAGACTCCTGAATGAGAAACCTAGATATGGTAAAACCTCAGAAATATCTGTGAACTCAGCCTTTTGTTTTGCAAACATTTTCCATTTTTAATAACTTACCTGTTGGAAGATGATGATTCTTTTCTGAAGCAAAAGCCACAAATATGTAAATAGAAATTAAAAATAAATTGCTCTAACAGATTGGATTTAACAAACTATCTTATGATGAGTATAACGGTTAGTCACCATAATAAACCTGTGAATATTCAAAGTATTTCCCAGTATATTGTTCTGATTCATTCAAATACTCTGGAGATATGTCAGTACTATTATCTTCATATTTCTTATGAGTGACGGAGAGGGAATGGCTTGTCTAAGGGATTTTATAGTAGATACAAGATTTGAACTGAAAATTCATATTCAGCCTTTTTATCATTTTACAAAACTAGTTTAGTGGAAGGACAGAAACACATAAACATCATTTAACTTTTATCTCTTGCATTCGGCAAAAAATAGCTAGTGCTTGATTGATGGAGGTGGCATTATGTGCAAACAATAAAAAGGATTATTAAAGTTAAGTTAATGCTTTTCCGGAATCCTGGTTGCTAGTGCTTGGGGATGAAATAGTACTGGGTTGATTATGCAGATGTATAGAAAGGAAAGAGGTGTGGAAGGAAGGAAGGAAGGAAGGAAGGAAGGAAGGAAGGAAGGAAGGAAGGAAGGAAGGAAGGAAGGAAGGAAAAAAAGAAAGCACACACACATGTACATATGAGAAGTGACCCCTCCCCAATTTTTCAGGTTTATCATAGAAGTAATTTAATGTATTTATTTTAATAATGTTTTTCTAGAGGTTATGAACATAAGTCAATAGGAAGGTTGCCTCCAGAGGTTGTGAATGTTCCAACACTGGAAGTTTTTAAGAAGAGATTGGACAACCATTTGCCTGAAGTGGTGTGGGATTTCCTGCCTAAGCAGGGAGTTGGACTAGAAGACCTCCAAGGTCCCATCCAACTCTGTTATTCTGTATATTATCAGCCTGTCTTCAAAATGTAGTGTTTTCCTAAGATAATATTTGAGTTACTTAAAATTGTAAAGTTATTTTTAAATGGATTTGTAGAATCTAACTGTTTTGATAACAGTAAAGAGTTTTTGTAGATGGTGGTAAGTATACATATTTTATTAGTACAGTTAATCAAACACATAAATTTCTGTTTGCTTTTTGTCATTGGTAGATTAATCATAAAGCCAAACTCCACTAAAAGAGTATTTTGTCTTGGTGCAGAACTGGAGAATCAAGAATCCAGAATTTCAGAGATCCATAGCTTAGTGCACAGACTTCCAGAGAAAAATAGACAGATGCTCCAATTACTCATGAATCACTTGGCAAAGTAAGTATCCTGTTTTTCATAAACCTTTTGGTTTGCTACTGATTTCAAATGGAAAAGATGTAACTTAAGAGTATAGGTACTGTTCCCAAATCTCCAACTCTGTTGTCTGGGTAGGATTCCCAGTCATTCCCTGGCATGACCAAAAAGTAACTCAATCAGATTAATATTGATGATCCATACCAACACAAGCTCTTGCTAGGAATGATTTTATTAGAACACTTGCTTGTACTGAAGAATGCAAATTTCTTTTAGTACCAAAGTTGGAATCTCCATAAAGTACTTCTTCAGGCTCTTTGCAGTCTACATCAAATATATATGTGGCATTAGACAGTTATTTTGTGAGGATAAAAAAAGTCAAGGTTGCTTTCCTTATTTTGGGGGAAACTTCTGTAAGACACTATAAATTACAGTGATTTCACAAAATTGGGCAATAATAGAAAACGGGTACAGCATTTATACCTCTCAGACTGGTGTAAAAGGCAGAATAAATGACTTGTGCTATATTGATCTAGATTCTAGAAGAATCTAAGTAAGAATCTAAGAAGCATAATATAAATTAGATGGAAAGAAGGATGGATGAATGATAGACAGTCCGATGAAAAATCTCTATAAAAGCACAGTAAAGCACAAACATATGTGATTTTCATGGAATGACACTTGGGTAGTTTTCGCTTGGTTTGCTTGGCATCTGAGCAATATTGAACCTATTTAACGTTTGGAAGAGAGACCTATGGAAAATATCAACAGTTTAGACTACGAATTTGAGGAAAAATCCAGAAGATGCTGGCAATCCATACCCTTATTGCTGCCAGGATAACTACATAAATGTATCCATGTGGGAACCAAAAGTTGAGTTTTACTTTTGATTTTACTTATCTTTACTATTGTACTAATCCTGCAAGGTAGGGGGAAGGGGGAAGGAAAGGGAAAGGAAAGAAAAAATGGAAAAGAAAGGTCTCATGCTTTCTGAGACAAAAATCAAACTTGATATGAAGGATGCTGAACTTAAATAAGAAATGCCTGTCTTTTGTTCCTCTGCGAATAAGTCTATGTTTTTTGCTCTCCTAAGGTGCTATTATCAACCCTGGGAAATTGTGCTTCTTGGATTCCTCCTTCCCTAATTAATAACTGCTTTGGGTGATTTAACTTCATAGAAGAGTTGTGAGGCAGAAGGATTTTAAATCCCACTTCCTCTGTGACAGGGGCCCAGTGGTGGGTTACGACTGGTACGCCCCGGTACCGGTGTACCAGTGCCTGTCAGGAGCACTGGAGGGCCCACCCGCCCACCCACGCTCCTTACTTGTATTTGAGCTCTTCAGGGCTTCTGCACACACGCAGAGAGTGTACGGTGCCTGTGCGATGCTCCGCCAAGCAGCTGGAGCGTCATGGAGGCGTCATGGAGCATTGCAGGCAGTATGTATCCATGCGCTGCGCATGTGTGCACGCATGGTGCGTGCGTTCATGTGGTGGACGCCAGGCCCCGTTGCACCGTACCAGTTGCACCGGGATCCGGAACCCCCCACCACTGCAGGGACCCAATACATTTGTTCCACTCAGAGGCTTCCACGGAATTTGATCTTTCTTTTAGAATGATGAAAGAAAGATTGCAACCTTGTCATTCTCCATACAGACTTGTGTGCATGTACAAAAGGGGCAGAGCTTGTTTTCTGCATTGTGATTTGGTTGGTTTTGTCATTTGGCTTCTCTCAGGTATATTTGCCTATTTACATTATATCTACTGGTTAAAATATTGAACTAGGACTGGGTAGATTCAGTCAGAAATTCAGACACAGATACAGACGTATTTGTTTGTTTATTTTTTTGTAAATAATACAATCTTTTAAACATGAGTTCTACAAGTAATTCATTAATAAACCAACTCTGCTTTGTGCTCCAGTTTCTACAATGTGAATGTTTCCCACCAATTCCTGTTATTTATAGTAGATAGTGCTATTGCTCAGTTAAGATGACTATTTATGTTGCTATTTGCTGGTCCAGAGTACTCTCTGAAATCCAGTATTGCCTGGAAATTCCCACTTCTGTCTTTTAACATCTCATGCTAGTTAACTGTGCTTTGGTGTGTGTGTGTATGTGTGTGTGTGTGTGTGTGTGTGTGTGTGTGTGTGTGTGTGTGTGTGTGTAGGAGCCATTTGATTAAAACCAGTGTTTTAATATAAATATAAATGTGTAAATATTAAAATTGCATGAACAAGTTGGGGAACAACATTTTCATACTTCCAGAAAGGCAAAATCGGATGCCATGACAAAAATGTATATTTTGGTTTGAAATTAATGATTTTTAAGTGCAGCATTATTAGATTAATAATGGATAAATAGCAAAATTATATAGTAATATATTCATTTTTACTCTTTTCAACCAATAGAAATTTTGCAAGAAATTATGGAAAGAGGCTCAGGATAGTGTCTGTCTGTCCTTCACTGGGATAACTGCCTGAAAGCAGACGAGAAGCTTATCAAATGTGGTGAAGGGAAGTAGTTCGCAAAAGAAAGATCAAGTCGCCAAAATGGGCCAGATCAGATCATAGGAGTATAAATAGTCTGTCTTTGTTTCCTATAACACTTGTGTATAATTCATAGACAGAACATAAGGGGAAATAAAAAACGCACAAAATTACGAAATATACATTGTCTTCTGTATGGTAGTCCAACTTTTACAACTAGCTGTTTAATAAAAATCTCAAATTATGTCAGAAAGGGTGTTTTATAGCTTGTAAAGCACATTGTAAAATGTCCGACCAACACCCTACCTCATAGTCACATGATTATATTTTGGCTGCTTGTCAACCTTTTGCACTTAGACTAGTTGCCAAGCACCCTGCGATCATATGGTTGCCATTTGCAATCCTCTCTGCTGATTTCCCCAGATAGTCAATGGGAAAGCTGGCAGGGAAGATTGCAAGGTGGTGCTGCCTGCCAAGAGGGCTAGATGAAAGATCTGCCTGGCAAGTAGAAGTCAGTCCTTCAGCTGGGCTGCAGAAATGGGGCTCACGTAACCAAAGAGTCAAATACCGTTTCTGCAGCCTAGCTGAGGTATTCCCTTCTGAACGTGAAAAATAAATTTCCTAGCCTTCAGAATAATGGTGTTTGCTAGCTTTCTAGCCCAGGGAAGGCTGTAAAGCTAGTGAACACCCATCGTTCTCATAATCATTTGGAAGGGCCTTCCTCAAAATTTCACACTTTGCAGAGGGAACTTTCCAAAAATCGCAAGAATGGATGCTTGCAGCATGATGTGAGGTAGAAAGGCCATAGCTCACGTTGGCCAGGTGTGCAGAAAAAGGCAAGTGGACCCAAGAATGGCGGAGTGGTGTGATGGCTCCTCTCCTGGTGTTCTGCTTAATGACCCATGTGGTCCCTTACTGACCACAACTGGGAGTACTGGGATCAGTCATGGACCAAGTGGTCACATTGGCCACTTAACACTTATCAACCATTCAGATGAATGATCTTAATTGTGGTTGTATGTCCAGGACTGTTTGTTGTATCTACTTTAGTCTAAGTACATACAGAACAGAGGTGGGTTCCTACCAGTTCGCACCTATTCGGTAGAACCGGTTCGTCAAATCTACCGAACCGGTTAGAAGTTCCACCAGTGGACCCGGAAAGCAGGCCACACCTACAAAAGAGGTTCCAAAATTTTTTGAAACCCACCACTAGTCCTTGTATATGATTATTCTACACTATCATGCTCATATTTATAAAACTCAGTGCCTCTGTGAAAGGTAAGGATGACTACTGCATTTGTGGTGCAATCAGAACATTGCGTGTGTTGAAGTTGTTTTAACGCAAACCAAAGATGCCTTTTAAAAAACAAGTTTACATCATATTCTTATGCATGCCAGTGCTATGTGTGAGGTAATTTAAGGTGGTTCTGACAAGTGTCGTCGGCATCTTCATATCCAGTCATATGGGCAGCAAGCCACTCCCACAAATGAGGCCACACCCACAGAGTAGGTTCGAACAATTTTTGAAACCCACCACTGATACAGAATAACTTTGTTATCCTGTGTATTTAGATATATTATTTCAATTTGTATATCAATTAGCTTGAAGTAATATTATCATAATCATTATAATGATTTGTTAAAAAAATGTAGGGAAGAAAAGGAAGTTTTTTTCACCCCCAAATATAATTTGTCATAATTCTTGTATAGTTTAGAATTTTCTCTCAAATGTAATTATTCCTTTGTTTCTGGTTTGGTACATGAGGCATGACATTTTTACAGCATATTTTTCTCAGTTGCCCTAGTTTCTGTGGGTTTTGGTTTATTTCAAAGCTAAACTAAGGCAGTGGTTGAATCAGCATCGCGTCAGTGATCCGAAATATTTGTGTAACCAAGCTGCTTGCCTAGTGTTGATTGTGTTTAACAGAAATCCTTTGTGGTTGCCATTTGAAGACCAAGCATTTTAAGGCTCAAGATCCTGTGGCCGGGCTTCCATTTGTGAACCGTTCAAGCTGCCTTAATTTTCTTAAGCCATTTTATTTTTGCCCAAAGAAACTGAGGAGGAGATTCTCTTTTAGGTCCTAAATTAAAACTAAACTGTTTGTGCAACAATCCTAAGAATTTCTTCGTAGGATGTCACATCCTTAAATTTTTCTAACGTAACCAAAGCATTCTAAATATTCTCTTCCTGTTGTTTTCTTGTTTATAGATGTCTGCCTAATTTTAATAGCAGCTTTTTTGGTGCCTACATTTTATGCCCCCCCCGCTGCCACCACCATTCTGCCATTGCTCTAACTTTTACATTCATATATATTTATTTTCTAAGAGTTGGTTCTGGATTTCTTCTTTTCTAAGAAATAGCTCTGGTTTATTTGATGGGTATTTGTTAGTTGCGAAGTCGTGTCCGACCCATCGTGACCCTATGGACAACATTCCTCCAGGCCTTCCTGTTCTCTATCATCCCCCAAAGTCCAATTAAACTCACGCCTACTGCTTCAGTGACTCCAGCCAGCCACCTCATTCTCTACCATCCCCTTC